GCTCCGGGAACAGCTAAGTGTCTTGATCCAGAAAACAATGGGTTTCTGGATTCTCCTGCAAATTCCCCAGCTGTAAACCCTCCGATCCTCCGATCCTCCAAACATACATTTATATTTGTTTCAGAGTTCCAACACTATCTCGTGAGCCCTCTTGGCCCGGTATTCCATGTTGTTGTTGACGGAGCTCCTCACTACACGTCTACCCGATCCGCCATCTTGAAGGTGCAACGCCTGGTAGTGTAGTGGTTAAGAATCTGGCTGCGAACCCCGTGGTCAGCAGCTCAAATCCACCAGGCCCTCCGTGGGAGAGAGATGAGACTTTCTGCTCCTTGCAGTTAAAATGGCCTTGGAGCCTGGCGCATTAACCCACAACATTCAAATAACAGTGTTCTGTTGGTAGATACATGGACTGATACACAGGCTAAATGGGTATGGGATGAAGAGTGGCAATATACCCACAAACATATAAGGGTTGGAAAGAGGATATTTGAACATGATATTTACCTTTGCTGAAAACACAACTGTGAATGTGATAGAACATACAGCAGCCAAAATGATGAAAACTTCTTAGATAGTATCAAACATCTCTAGGCAATCAGTTTCTGGGCCATAGTCTCAGGGGACACCATGGTCAATTGACAGAACATAGTTCACAAAGACAACGTTCTACATCCCATTTTAGTGAGTAGAATATGGGGTCTAAAAAGCGCATGAGTGGCCACCTAAAGTGTAACTGTTGGTCTCTCCACATGAGGAAAAAAGAAGAGTGATGAGAACTGAAGATGCCAGGAATCAATTAGTCCAATGGACTAATGAAACATGTGAATATCATTCTCCACAACTCTGAGACCAGAAGAACTCGATGGTGCCCACTGAAAGGGGTCACATTAGAAGACCACGGATAAAGTGTGAGAAAATATGGAACCAAAGTCAAAATTATGTTAAAAAAAAAAGCAGCCAGGCTTACTGGTCAGAAAGAAACTGGAAGAACCTTGGATTATCACCATCCTACAGGTCTGGAAAGAAACTCACCTTTGAGGCCCAATTTTCAGTCAATCAGTAGCTAGGTATATAGGGGGAATAACAATTAGTGTAACATATGCTCACCATGGAGTGGTCAATCTTTTAAAATCAAAAGGGCAGTATTTACCTCAGGACAAAGTTGAGAAGGGATGAGAAAGTGAGTGGAATGCAAATAGGAACCAGAGGGAGGAAGCAGGATAACTGATGCTACATGGAAAGGATTGCAGTCATTGAGATGAAACAAAGTGGATGATTCATTTGAGTGAAAAGCTGATGATATTTTCAGTAAACTTCACTCAATTCATGACAAAAGGTTACAAAAAAAAGTAGCAGAGTCAAAATGGATAATAAAGAAAAAAAAGATTAGAGTTACAAAAAAATGTAAGCAAAATGTCATTTAAGTCTTGGTGAAAGTTGGTGAGCTAACACAGTAACAAAAGGAATGTTGAAGAGATGCTAACAAGTCAAGACCTGGTGATGTGTTGAGTGGACTTCGAGATGATAGGATAGGTGATGATGAATTTACTGAGATAGGTAGTAGATAGTTGATACTTTAGGGACAATGAAAAGGATGTATTCTGTGAAAGGTTGCATTTGACATGCCTGTGAGAGGATGTACTATAGTTGGTATACATAGATCTGGAGACTAAGACAGAGGGTCCTAGCATCAATATATAAGTCTCAGAGCCTGCGATATATATATATACTGGTGTCGCAATGTGGGTTAACCTTGACTGCAAGGTCAAGGCCAGTAGTTCAAGCTCACTAGCTGCTCCTCAGAAATCCTATATAATAAGGTCGCTATGAGTTAGAAATCCTATATAATAAGGTCGCAACTCGATGGCACTTAATAACAACAACATCCATCATTTGTTTGTCTGTTTGTCTCACTGAAGTGGCTGAAAGCTATGCCACCAGTATTATAAATACTAATAGGGTCACCCATGGTAGACTAAGACAGACGAGGGAGAAGGAGAGGCAGACTACTTCTGCATGTTTAGCCGCTGAGAACCTTGTAGCAGCAGAACATTGGCAGGTACAGTGCCACAAGAGAAGTACTTCAGGTTGGAAGACTCTAAAAATATGACTGGGAAAGACCTGCCTCCTCAAAGTAGAACTGTCTTAATGAGGTGAAGTTAAATGATAAGGTTAGTCAAAAAAGAGTTATTATATTTAGTCAAATATAATGCAGTTAATTAATAGATGATTGCAATATATGTAACCATATAGCTGTTGTGTTGTTGTTGCTAAGTGCCATGTAGCTGGGTCCCACTCATAGTGACACTGTATAGGGTTTCCAAGGAGATACTGATGGATTTGAACCTCAACCTTTGTGGTTAGCAGCCCAGTCCTTATCCTACACTCTAGACTAGGATTCCATAACCAAATAATTAGAAGTATTCATTTTTGTGGTTGTTGTTGTTAAGTATCATGGAGTCGGTTCCAACTCATAGTGACCCTGCACAGGGTTTCCGAGGCTGTAAATCTTTGGTGGTGGCGGTTATGTGCCGTGGAGTCGATTCCGACGCATAGCGACCCTGTACAGGGTTTCTGAGGTTGTAAATCTTTACCGGAGCAAAAAGCCTCATTCTTTCTCCCGCGGAACAGCTGGTAGTTTCCAACTGCTGACTTTGAGATTAGCAGCCTGATTCGTAACCACTAAGCTACCAGAGCTCCTTATGGGAGCAGAAAGCCTCATCTTTCTCTCGCGGAACGGCTGATCGTTAGATACGTGTTATACTTAACCCCATATACATTGCCAAGTCCCAAATTACATTGCCAAGTCACAAGCTTCCTAAACACTTAAAAATCATTTTCTGGATTAAACTTTTGTTTCCACTAACATGTAATCATCATCTGTCATGTCTTGGTATACTTTTAAACTTAATTTTGTCTATTTGTTTCCTAATATAGGTCATCGAACTCTGTTCATTGGTGTTCATGTGCCCCTGGGAGGAAGGAAAAGTCATCGACGTCACAGGCATCGTGGTCATAAACACAGGAAGAGAGATAGAGAAAGAGATTCAGGTTTAGAGGACGGGAGGGAGTCACCTTCATTTGGTAAGAATTGTTCTTCTTGTTTTTAGTAAATTCATGATTGTGGTACTATTATACTGGCTTGTATAAAACACATCCATAATTGACTGTGGTACCTCATACTAATGAGACTGTCCAACATTTTTTGAAAGATGTTGACCACTGTTAGGAAGAAGTGGAACAGAGAAAACTTGATCTTCATTTTCCTCTTGAAAAAGAAAAAGTATCTGTTTTGGGAATATTTGGAAAGTTCTACTATTTTTAATATTGTTAATTTCAAATTATAAGCAGAATATCCAAATACATGTATTGGCATGTTGTTGTTAAGTCCCATTGAGTTGGTACTGACTCATAGCAACCCTTTATAGGGTTTCTTAGGAGCTGCTGGTGAGCTTGAACTGCCAACCTTACAGTTCAAACCCACCTTGAAGTCCACAGTGCCACACCAGGACTCTATTGACATATTAGTTGTTTAAAAATTCTGGGTTACATGAAACAACATATGAGAAACAGTTGCTTGACCTCTCTCTTGCCTAAGACTTTCACTGTACCTAGATCACCTTTTTTGTTTTGTTTTGTTAAGTG